GATAATATACCACCATCTCCACGGTCAGAACCAGAAATCAGTTTAAGAAGGATGATATATGTTGAAATAGAGCAATATATATATACTTGATATGTACGATAAAAAATCTTGTGTAAATAGATAGCAGCACCAAAAACGAACATTTCTATAACGATGTATAAATTATGAAACATAATCTTTAAAGGCATTATATATCCTCGTTATAAGGTTAAATCATGTAAAGTGTAACTTGAAGTTCCGTAAGACGAATTGTCCACTGCCATTTTAGAAACAAAATGCTGACAAGAAAGTAAATAAAAGAATGTTTGAATTGTGGGAATTAATACAAAATTGGAGGAGATCATGAATTCAAAATATATGATACACCTTTCGCATAATTCTACGCACAATTAAATTCTCCGAAATATAAAGTTGAATGAATTTTATTCATAAAAATTGAAATTAGATGAAATCGGATTTTATTTAATTGTTTTTTATAATTTATAAATTTTATATTCATTCACATGTATATATAGATACCCCCAATTGCATTTCTTTACTATATATTCGTACTGACGTGAAATATATGTGCATTCATATTGTAGTGATGCTACTACATATCAGCAATGACAGTCATTTACCAATCATAATTTTGAGTTTTATGATTATGATTATGATTATGATTATGATTATTATGATTATGATTATTATTATGATTATTATTATGATTATTATTATAATTATTACTTTGTTGTTGATTTTATGCTTTAGATTTTAAAACATAGCAAAGACAGTTGGCCGATGTCAATGCAATAAGTCCCGTTTACCTAACCTTTACGTTTGATTCACTTTGTGTATTACTGTCTGAATACTTTTTTATATACGAAATCGATGTAATACATATAGAGTCCAACCAACTGTTTGATAGCGCCTTTTGTGAACTGTCTGAGAGTACCATTCGCGCAGCGGCCAGTATTTCGATACTCCCCTAGTTTAAAGGTTACATCCATGATTGTAAAATGTTCAGTTGATTAGGAAGTCCATAATACTGAATATGAAGACCTATGTTTCACTAAAATGTATCGTAAGTATACAGAATTGTTCATGACTTATGGTCAATTTTAAACGCAAGAGTTTTTGTGAATCGCAGGCCAGTTCTTTGTCGTTTTTCCAACTTTAACATTCGTATATGTCAAAAGCTAGCATATATACACAACGTAGTGTGTTATATAAAAATAAGGAGATGTGGTATGATTGCCTATAAGACGACTATCCACCAAAATACAAATGAAGTGGATACAAGGATTTGTATAGTGTACACTATACAAATCCTTGGTGGATATAAGCAATTATATTACCGGTCTTCAACAATGAGCAAAACCCATACCGTATAGTCGGTTATAAAATGCCCCGACATGAAAAAAAATATGAATCAATTCAATTGATAAAACTAACGGCCTAATAAATAACAAAACATTTTACGAAAAACAAATATGACAGACATGAACCAACGACAATCACTGAACTACAGGCTCCTGACTTGGGACAGACACATACAGAATGTGGCAGTTCAAACAAGTTGCCAAACCCTCCCGTAACTTGTGACAGTGGTATAACAGTTCATTATAAAAACAAACTAAAATCAGTTGAAAAGGGCTTAACTAATCCGATCGATACAAAGCAGAAAATATCTATAACAATGATATTTAGTATGGTTTTAATTTACGATAACAAAATCAATATTTATACCAATAAAAACAATATTCAAAGATTTAATTACAGCGTTGAATTGGTAACCTTTTAGAATAAGTTTATTTAAAGAATTGATAAGTTTACCTGGATCGTATATGATTTTCCGGGCTCGGTAAACAACATTCCCGTAAACATTAGAATGCACTATTCCGTTTGAAATAAGTTTTCTACAGGTACAACGAAACTTGCAAACCAAATCTTTTTATCTATGGAAGAATTTAGTAAAGGTTTTAAGTGATTTGTGGTAACGAAATCCCTCACTAATACATAGATTACGCTCATTGAAATACAAAACGTCACTACAGACACGGGCATAGCGAACGAGTTATGATATATAAACACCGTAAGACGGTCCCAATGGAACATCACCGTCCAAAAAAGGAAAAATAACAATAGAGAAAAAAAATCGTCCCTTTTGTCGTAAATTTTTGTGAAGAGTTTCTTGTGTAAAACTGAAATATCTTAATCTAGAAAAGGACAGTTATTGCTGTTAATATATATTTGATTTATTTAAAGTAAGTTCCTTAAGATAAATTTCGGCAGTATATTTAGAGAATCTTGATTATTTAACGAAAAAATATCATCAAGATGACGATTAGTGTTGTTGAATTTATCAATTTAATCGAAATTAGACGGTTCCTGAATAGTTTGGCCATACACTGTGATTCATAACAGTACAGGAACAAGTCTGCTATTAAAGGGGCACACGTGGTGCCCATAGGAATACCTACGATCCTCACTTTTTATCATTTAGTTTAGATTATGATCTTTGAGTTTGGGGGTTGGAATAGAAAATTTTCTTACGCCACGCTTTTCGAATTTATGTCATTACTTACTTAAAAAACACATTATTGTGGACAAACATAACTATTATAATAGATATGTATATATAATTATGCGACTTGTCATATTTCAATGACGATGAAACGAGAAATTCTCTAATGTTATAAAACGTACCACTGGTTTTTTTTTTAATATGGTTGGAATATCTTCGTGAACTACATGTAACTCGCATTTGTTCTACGGATATACGATATTTTGGATCGTTTTTGTAACGCACTTGGTTTGGTACTCTTGCATCGAAAAGAACAGTTTCCGATTAAAGTTTGTAGCGTATACAGACACTGATATAAATAGCTGCAACATAGGAAAGTCCATTTCGTGATATTTTTATGGAGATTATTGCCTGTGCTTAATCGGTTTCTTAATTTAAATATCACTAATATACCTTGTGGTTTTATATGTTAATTTTATAAAGGCGAACGGTTGAGAACAAAAAAATTAAAACAAAGTAGCGCATAAAACAAGTGTCATTTGTCGGTAATCTAAAACGATAAAAAAAATTTGCTGAATTATGTAACTTCAAGTAAATAAAAATAAAGTGATGGTATTCATATATTCACTGAATAGTCTTATTTCGCTTCAAATAAACCGTTGGCAATGTAATCAAAGATACTAATGACCATAACTTTTTAAAAAAAGGCATCTTATTTTAATTTGATACATCATTAGAATCTATGATAAATGCAATGGTTTCTGTTTTCCTGTTGTAAACTTCCCATTCGTATGTAGCAACATACTATAAGCCTACGAATATTGTCTTTACATATCTAAAGTAGGAATTGTAAACGTGTCCTCAAAATTATACTCTAGCAACGCACCTGGACTTGGAGATAAGGTGATTTTAATAATGTTTGCTTCCATGGCATGTTTTGTCTGTCTACAACTGAACTGTTTACTTTGAAGTGATCTTTGCCGGGTATTTTACCTTTATGTAAAAAAAAAAAAAAAAATTGTAAGTCTGTCTCATTAAAATGGAGAGACCAATATTCTTACCAGATTATGATAGGGTATTGAAAAATTAAGATACATTGTATTTAAAATCCCAAAGACCCACGAAGATGAGGTAAAAGCTGCTAATGGTATTAACAGCTAAAACAGAAAGAAATCCATAGTTTTTTTTGCACTTTGGGTATTTTCCACGATGTTCCATAAACTAATTTGGAAATATAAACTTGAGGGCTTGTTATATGGTAGAACAAAACACTCTGCCATGACGAATCAACCTGGTGGGGCAGTGCATAACCAGCGGTCCTTATATGCTATTTTGCATATTCGAGGCAATAATTAAGAAAAGTTTGTTTAAAAATTATTTGTCCAATGAAATAATTAGAAAAGTGTATATCTCCAATTCAGTTTTATTTAGAATGGCGCCAATGAAGATTGTACAATAAAAATTCGTTAAAGAGATTGCAGTTTGGAATATCAAAAAAAAAATCTGATTTTAATTTTATTCTTGAAAACTCATCACTGTCGTCTGGTTATCATTAAATTAAACAGGAATATGTATTTACTAATTATAAACTCTACAAAAGTTAAGAAAGTTGTCATCTACTCGAAAAGCTGAACATTATTTACTATTGAAGAAATAAATTTTAGGTGCAAGATGAAAAGAAATAGCTCGAATTTCTGAGGAAAGGGGCGAAAAATACTTGGATATTGTAATCATCTGCATGTAGATTAAAACAATAGGAATTCAAAATTCAAAGAACGAATATGGGAATAATGTTATTGAAAATTTGCCGGAGCAAGGACGAACATTATTTGATTTAGCGTATTCATATTAGACTGAATCGAAAAGTATGTTGTCTAATCGTTTGAAATAGTTATTATTTACATTTAAAACACTGGAAAGACGGAAATATCAAACTCAAAATGAAAAAATAAGCGCGAGGAAAAATGGTCAGAGATCATATATACAGATAATGGAGAGATGTTTTTTCCTGCATGTTTTTTCAACCTCCCTCGTGAATGAATAATAAGATAAATCATTTTTAAGAAAGTTTGAAAAAAAATATTACCATGTGCATCTAAAGTGCATGGCCAGTGACAAGTGTCGATATTTGGGATCGTATATCAACTTGTTTTGAAGCAATGTTAACCATTCTTGACATTTCACCAAACAATGAAATAATATTACTGATTTTTTTAAATTAGATCTAATGACCTATTCTTTATCTAACACTTCAACAGGTAGCAAGACATGAAGCCTGGATCAGTTCGTTGTAGGCAAACGAACAGGATTGTGAACACTGAACGAATCACTTGTTCAGACAATATAACATTGACCTTGCTTTGTCGCTTATAAAAAAGAGGTTTCAATAAGTCATAGTTAAACTTCTGAATCATCTGTGTTGATAAAACAATACCTTGTGTCCAGGACATTTTATTTTGAATTCAAAAATCTCAGAAAATATTTTGATTCCTACCTTCTATAACTTCCGGTCCAATTATGGCGTCGTTTTGTATTACCACATGTTGACTAAAATGGCGTTCAAGAGACAAAAGAACAAGAAAAAATGTTATTTTCATCATCTTCCAAATGTAGTTGTTTTGTGTGTTTTATTCATTTAGATGAATTTTCATTTTGAAATAATCTTATACCACGTCTGTGTGTTGAATATTGTATGAATAGATTAATTGCATGAGTTGCAATGCAAGTGTGACAATTTATGTAATCTGGGACTACTGCACTAAATATATTATTCCTAGCTGCAATTGACCTTTTTTGACAGGAACAAGAACAATCTGTGTTTCATAATCATCTTAGCACCAACGTATTCGTCATGAATACTTTCCTGGTGCATTGGGTAAATATTTCTTTGTAAAAAAAAAATGATTGCTGTATAAATGTTTATTTATTTTGCACAAAATTGCAATAATTTTTCTACATTTGAAATTAAAATTGTTATTTTACATGGGAAAATTTTACTTTTAATTGTTTATATTCTTAGAATTTAAAAAAAAATGCTATCTTAATAGCTTTTATTTTTGTGCTGTTCTCTGTATTGTTTCGAAGCGTTTTCTTCAGTCTGATAAAAATAATTTTAAGTTTGTTTTTTTCCTCATTTCTCTTCATTGTTTTGTGTATAATTTTGTGATGAAGATTAAAGCAATAAATAACCTGTAAGTATTTGAAGATTTTTCAATGTTTGATAACAATCAGAAAATTACAAGTCTGGCCAGTTTATTAGTAACAAGAAGTAATATTTACGGTCAGAGAAAATTTGTAGATTCTCAAATAAATTATAGTTTAGTTTCTTTGAAGTATTTAAATATTTTCTTATTTTTATTGTTAATAATATTATCGTTGAGTTTTTTATTGGTTAATTGTTTATTTTTACTATCAATGATAGCTACTAAATAATACAACAGAAGAAAATAAAAAGGATTTATTCGGGTTCATCTTGACTGCTGAAATCCTGATATTTTAGTGGCCACCTTTATCATACAATTTTAACTCAATACCTACTAATTATGAAAAGTGAAAATTGTCCATAAAAGCTTATATGTAAGATAAACTATCTTAATTTGAAGTCAATGTCAAATTATGGAAAATTTATTGGGTTTATTCTACTTTCATTTTTTTCACGTTTTTAACCACTTAAATATATTATTTTCAAAATGCTTGTTAAGGGTCAAATTTCTAAAAATGGAAAAGCAAGAAATATTTGTTTAAAGTTTCGTTGCTTTCTATTTATCACATTGTTCATTCTACACGAGCTAATATTTTATTTATTTATTTTTTATAAGCAAAGAATTTAAATAAATTTATTCAGAAATAAGTATCTATAATTAATGTACTTACGTGTATTACAAAAAAAAAGTCGTTAATTTATATCAAATTTATGTCAAAAAGTTTTTAGAACAGATATAATGTTTATGTATTATTTACTAATGTGCAACAATGATTTAAAAATATAATTGTATATGAAATAAAAATCTAAGCTCAGCAGCTGACGATGAATTATTTTGCGTAAACAAACAATCTGTCATGCGATAATATCAATTAAATATCAATATATTTTTATATATTTTCTAATTATTTTCACAATAAAAGACGTGCATAATTAAATGGCAATATATCTGTAAATTGACCAGAAACATCATAAAAAGTGGCAAATCATAAGAGAGCGTTGCAGACTTTCAAAGGTTTGTTATTAGCATTTAATCACCATTTGAAATTTCATGACTGTCATTTGTGAGAAATAAGGGTTCCAATAATACTACACAATTGGCCAGTAATTAATTCTATAATCTTAAACACTAGCAATTGTTAAGCCTACACTAACAACAAACTTTGCTAATTTAATATCATCTTCAGATGCATGTCAACAAACAGCAGTCTTGATTACAAAGTGAATTGCACCATGGGAAGGCGGTAACAACACATTGGTTAGATCGAGTTGTTTTCTCCTCCTCTTTAGTAATAAAAATTTTCTGAAGTAGCCGTGTAATCCCATTATACTTGAAATCTTTTGTAGCGTCCACTTATTAATAATGGAATTTTTACTTGAACATGTGTCTGAAATTTGAATCTGGATACTGAAATAATCACCGTTGACCACAGGTTACCGAACATCCACTTGCAGCATTTTTCCGAAGGTGCATTCCGTTATCATTAATAATTAGTTTGAATTAATATTTCGTTAACCATAATCATCATCATCGAATTTACCTCCGGCAATTAGTTTTCTATGATCGTCAGCGAAAGTTACATGATAGACAAAACGTTTCACGCCTGATGGTGGTTCTTTACCCAGAGGGTGTTTAGGTAATGCGCAGACGACACATTTATCAGTTAAAGTCCCCCGTCAGTCAATCACTTGGAAATCGGCCTCGACTTGAAGTTTTGTTTATGTACTGAAAAGTTGTATAGTTCTTTTTTGATGTTTATTGCAAATTTATGGTTTTTTCTTTATGTTGTTAAGTCATAAGAGAAGAAAATTAAAATTATAACGGAGAATTCGTTATTATTCACAAAATTTTCAAAGTGTCCAAATGAAAATAATGTCTACTTCGAGTGGAGTAAGTGATTCTGAAGACAGTTGCAGAGACCAATATGAACCAATAAGGAAATTAGCAATGGTCCAAATCCATCCTCCGAGAAATCCAAACAAACCATTTACATCATTTTGTATAAAGGATATACTGTCATCAAACAATGTGTCTCATCATCAAAGAAACTTTCATTTTAATAATTGTGCAAATTCAAGAATTGTGCGCCCTTGGGACATTCGTTCAAGTTCTGGAAGAGATAGTGAACTTTCATCGGATGCAGAAGATGAAGAAATAAATGTTGATGATGACGAACCGGTCCACCAGATTAACAAATCGAACAAAGTGTCTCCCCTAGATGCACTGATGGAAATGGCAAACAAAACATTTGAGGGTCTAGAAACAGCGGAATCTGCAGGTATATAAATACATAATTTGTCTTTTATTTATAAAATAATATACTATCCTCTGCTTGAGGTCATTTGAAGAAAATAATAAAAACTCAATAATTCTTTAATTTTATTTTTTTTGGTGTTTTTATTGAAAACTCTTCTGGTATATATTTACTTTTATATTTTTGTTTTACACGCGTTTTTTACTTTTTAATATTTTAATTCTTATTTGATTATTATTTTCAACGAGTTATATATGCCAAAAAAATCATTTATTATTATTTGTGTTAATAAATAATGTGTGAAATTAATAAATTCGCTATTTGCAAGTGACACTGACAATTAACAGTATATTTTATGACGGGAGATATTTTTGTATCAAGAAATGTTTCATAAATATATAAAAAGATGAATAAATTTAATGTTACCGACCCATATTTGATGCATAAATTTGCTTAAAACGAATGCATGTTATTCATATTTATAACTTTGCGGCAAAACTTCCAAAGGAAAATAATTAATGTTCGAAATTTTTCTTAATTTCTATTATATAGCTAGATTTTAAAGATAAAACACCTTCCAATATTGTTACATTATTTATCTGTAACAATTGGTGTAATTTTGTTGATTTACAACAAGCGGTCCTTTTGATATAAACTAAATAAAAGTGAAATTTGTCAGTCCATTAAATAAAGATGAGACAATAATGGTCAAGATAACACATAAAAACAGCCAGTGGTCATACAACAGTCAATTATGACCCGCTTGACCATAATAGAAAGTTCTTTTAACATCTTTATTCCATGAAGCAATTACTTAAATGATTAATTGAGAGAAGAAGGGAACATATTTTGAAGATGTAGATTTTTGTACTACTATGTATGCTTTGCAAACGATCAGAGGCCGACCACATGTGCCTGCTGGTCAGTTGTATATTTCATGGTCATTAACTTTCTTGTAGCTTCTAGCACATCACTAAATCATGACAAATTAGTATACTAAGTAGGTGTGAAAGAACATAATGATATCTAAATAATGTTTGTTTCTAACTTTTGTCTTACTAACATGTGAAAATGACCATTGGAAGGTAATGATTTTGGCAGATAATCACTGCCAAACAGTAATTTAAGATCTATAGATAAATGTTTCACTTTGAAATCTCTCTAGTTACGAGTGTAACAGATATTCACATTTCTACCTACACTTGCTGTTACTAACTTAGGTTTTTCTTTTAATTAATTTTGACATCTAAATAATATTTATGCTGAATATAAGAAAATGAAATTACCATGACACAAATATCAAGAACCTTGAAACAAAAGGAAAAAGTTAATAGTGATTTTTTTTCATCCCGATGATACAAATTTATCAATTCTTTTTAAAATTTTCTTTAAAAAAATATATTGAAAAATAAAAATCGCGCACAAATGACAGATCAAAATATATTTAAAGTATATATGAATAAAGATTTTCAAATTGTGATTGGAAATTAGAGGATAAAACTTTACCGTGGTCCTGAATTGACCCAACATTTGCTGTAGCCTTTGTGGTTCATTAGCATTATGGTCAAAGTTTCAAAATGGTTAAACTTTATGCCAAATAACATTAAATAAAGTATGTAAAAATGTATTGCATTAAAATTCACATTATTTGTTATTATTTACGAGGTGTTTTTCTGTTTAATTTTGCTATTTTTGAATTGTCATATTATTTCTCCCACTTATGAAAGATTTTTACGACAGGTTAGGCCCTGATTAAGATCGCTTTCATTTAATTTTAAAAACGCCATCACATATTAAATATGATATATGTTTCACGGATAATAATTATGAAATTTTTAGTAGTCGTGGGCGATCTCCAAATTTATACACATACGTTGGTACTTTTTAGTTTGTATTCAAATATGCATATTTTATTGAAACCTTCGTAATGATTTATATTTGTTTTGTATCAACTTTACTTCATCGTCCATTCCAAAATTGTCTACAAAAAATCCCTTAGTTTGGTAGAAAAGGTAAACATTCACTTTTAAATTAATTATCATAAAGTTATGTACACATAAATGTATATTTCTGTGGTATTTTTCACGTCGAAATTATGAATACGTTAGGAAATATAAATGTTTTAAAACACATTCATGACTCTGTGCAATTTATTCGTCACAAAATCATTTAGAAGAGTGATTAATTAAATAACCATGTATCACTAAATGTTTCTTGTCATCTAAAGTCAATCATATGATATATCATAATCTCCAAAATTGTGTCAAAAATATTTAACCACTTTATTATATTCATAATTTTTTATAGTTTCGATATATCTTTAAAATGCAGTCAAATTCGAAGCAATCTTGCAGACAAAGTCCAACGTTGTTTTCCTGAAAACACTAACCATCATTGTAAGGGCATTTAAGCACATGATATATTTAAAAAAGTTTAAGACATACTAGTATATATTAATATGATAATAATTTGTATACACTTCATAAATATCTCTCTTTATTAAAAATATAAACCCTTTAAAAACATTTAAAGCGAAATCAGAATTAAAAGTTTGTCCTCATTATTTTACAATATGATTTTTATTCATAAATAATTTTGTCAGCCTAGCTTAGCGTATTAGATGTGATGACATGACGAATAGTTCACATTAAAGTAACCACAAAAGATCAGCGAGTTTATTTCAAGTAGTCCATGTAATAAAATGTGCTGTAACAATCCTATATGATATAGCTGCACCCGATGTCCCTTAACATTTTACCGAAATCCTAACCCGAATAATTCAGTCGTGATCATTCGATGCTCTACAATGGCTATATTTACATAAACCTCGCGATTCGGTGGGTCGATCACGTGGAGGGCCTGAATTATTCGGGTTACCGAAATCAAAGTCTACTGATCCCTCGCAAAGAATGGAGGAAACTTTTGGGTGATATTTTCATAATCAATGTTTCAGGGCAGAGCTCTGGTTACAATGGTCAAAAACTAATAAATTTATACTGTACAAATATTGACACAACAAAATAAGTGGTCTTAAACTTAAAAGTTAAAATATCTATATAAAAAAAAAATTACGAAATTCTCGAAAACAGATTTTTACTCTCTTTTTTGATGGATCCCCTTGTATTTAGATATTTTTCTTCTATTAGACTTAAAAATAGAAAACATGAACTGAAACTTTAATTCAAATAAGCAAATTTAGAAAATAAGGAAATATGATTACATAAAAGTTCCTTAAAAACATAGATCGCAACGTTCTACTTACGCATATCATCTTCATATGACAATTTAGTACCATTTTAACTTCTCCTTTTGCAAAGAAGGAGCTTATTAACAAAACTAATATTTTTCAAGTGTTAAGTTTTCAACAAATAAAATGGAGTTTCTGAATATATATACCTTTACGATTACATATAATCTATATCTCATACGGGTACATATAATTATTGAACTGAAAAATGATCTTCGCATGTATTGAACGAATCAATGCATTTAGAATGTTATAAAGGAATTGATTGAACTGTCCATAATTGCATCTTCTTGAAAGCCTCGTTTATGCGGGGATGTTTTGATATTTTCCCATTTCAGCAATTAAAGATATAACGTTACATGCTATACAATGCATGTATATCATGCATATTTTCAAACAAAAACTTAAAAAAGAAATACATCTAATGGTTTGAAACCTATGTTAATTCTCACCTGAATTTAACTGAAATGATAAATTTTAAAATAATGGAAAAATTAATAGTAAAAGCATCTGTCTGAAAAATCCAAACCCAACAATACCTGGACACAGATGTCTTTGCTATTCAAACACTTTTTCTTTTGAATTCAGCCACATGGTTAAGAATTTTGAACAGTATTTTGTACTTTAGATAAACGAATTGTAATTATGATAATTTATAAAATTTATGCTTTGAATTATGAATTATATTAAATGCCTGTATATTTTAATAAAATTCAGTTTAGCCGGTACAAACCATATGAATATGTAATAACTACAATAAATTACATTGGCGGGTTACAATGTCCAATTATAGCTAATAAATTACAGAGCATTACTTTCCAGAACGTGTGTATTTTGAGTCCATAGCATGTCAAAAATGTTAGACTTTTATTTTCTTTAGAAAATACGGTGTATAAAATTGAATCACTCCTACGGACATTGTTTCCTGCATATATGTTTTTTTTCCCATTTTGTTTCTTAAATCCATTATGTACACCTGTCCCGTTTATTATTTCCAAATAAATCTTGAAAATTTCAACAGTAGAATAAATTGCTTTTATTTATGTAATAACTAAAGATGCAGATGCAAGCATACCTATATGTCAACGCACAAACGACATGACACCGTCAAAAATATCAGCTCAAAAATACCCATTAGCGTTGCATTATTGTAAAAAACATACCATTTAGGTAATTATTATTGAATGTTAATTTATAACATAAAAGAACAATTATGTCTTTAAGTACTTGCTGTACTAAACAACTCGAAGCACAACTCGATGGTTCGAACATATTAGTATGTATAGTCATGTTTCATTAAGAAATAAAATCTCAAATCCATCATGTGACAGGTTTACTACTTATAATTTTTATAAGAAACAGGACTATGCAAAGAGTGCTATACAATTATAAGGAAAAGTGTGTATGTATGACATGTCGAAATGTAAACCCTGGCATTATATAGCTTCATTGTCCAAACATGAGTTTCTAATGAAGGCTCCTATATTGCTGTAATATTGCATACACTATTTTCAGTTAACGCCAGTTGCATACATGACATTCGTTTATCAAGTGAATATCTTGTAAAATTCTTGCTGTTTAGAAATACCCTATATGCATTTATGCCAGTTGTGTAACAGAACGTTCATTAAGAGTATTGTAGAAAATTTTCGAAAATATATTATCGGATTCATTCAAAATCGTATTTGGTCATTCCTACAGAAATTTATTTTGGTCACATGTTGCAAGGCCTTCTTTAGGTCATTGAAAAAAATATTAAAACGCGTTTACTGCGTTG